ACATTTCTCCAAAAAGTACGATCTTTGTCCCCATGTGCAGTTGCAAACCGTAGTCTGGCTTTTTTATGGCGGTTTTGAAGCAGTGGCCTCTTCCTTGCTGAGCGGCCTTTCAGGTTATGTCGATTTTGGACTCGTTTTACTGTGGATATAGATACTTTTGTACCTGTTTCCTCCAGCATCTTCACAAGGTCCTTTGCTGTTGTTCTGGGATTGATTTGCACTTTTCGCACCAAAGTACGTTCATCTCTAGGAGACAGAACGCGTCTCCTTCCTGAGCGGTATGACGGCTGCGTGGTCCCATGGTGTTTATGCTTGCGTACTATTGTTTGTACAGATGAAGGTGGTACCTTCAGGCATTTGGAAATTGCTCCCAAGGATGAACCAGACTTGTGGAGGTCTACAATTTCTTTTCTGAGGTCTTGGCCGATTTCTTTAGATTTTCCCATAATGTCAAGCAAAGAGGCACTGAGTTTGAAGGTAGACCTTGAAATACATTCACAGGTACACCTCCAATTGACTCAAATGATGTCAATTAGTAGCTCAGCTGGTAGAGCACGGCACTTGTAACGCCAGGGTAGTGGGTTCGATCCCCGGGACCACCCATACACAAAAATGTATGCACGCATGACTGTAAGTCGCTTTGGATAAAAGCGTCTGCTAAATGGCATATTATTATTATTATTATCAGAAGCTTCTAAAGCCATGACATAATTTTCTGGATTTTTCCAAGCTGTTTAAAGGCACAGTCAACTTAGTGTATGTAAACTTCTGACCCACTGGAATTGTGATACAGTTAATTATAAGTGAAATAATCTCTGTAAACAATTGTTGGAAAAATTACTTGTGTCATGCACAAAGTAGATGTCCTAACCAACTTGCCAAAACTATAGTTTGTTAACAAGAAATGTGTGGAGTGGTTGAAAAACGAGTTTTAATGAATTTTAATAACTTCCGACTTCAACTCTACATATTTCACCATATATAATTGCCTGTATGTTGTGTCGCAGTAAAAGGGGCATCCATTCTACTCAGGAGCAGTTCTAGTTTCCAAATCCACAGAGTTTACACCCAGAGGAGCGTCACTGCTCATTTTGCGCCCCTTAAAGAGTGGCCAATCAACTTAAATCCAATAATTTTTTCAAATTGGACATACATATTGCACCGTACACTATTTTATGTACGCTGTGTCGCAGTAAAAGGGGGGTCCATTCTACTCAGGAGCACTTCAAGTTGTCAAATCCACAGAGTTTACACCCTTAAAGAGTGGTCAATCAGCTTAAATGCAGTATGTTTTTCATATTGGACATAAATGTTGCACCGTACATAATCGATTGTATGTCTATAAAACCAGGGTCCAGCCTACTCACTAGAGTCCCTAGCATACAAAACAGATTAGTTCGAACAAAAAGTTTGCTTGGGGCCCCTGGACGCTATATCCCTGGACACTATGGTACAAATATAGCACTCTACAGGAAAAACGATCGATTGTCTCCATAAAACCAGGGTCCAGTCTGCTCTTTTGCACTGTCTGTCACTTTAACTCTCTGCTGACTGACTAATTCAGGACTATATCATAATTAATTACAAAGGAATAAATTAACTTTTGTAGCTTACTCTTTGTTTGCTTCCAGTGTGAAATAAAACGCCATTGCAGACCAGACTTGCACTCTTGGCTTGCCCTATTATGGAGCTGCCATATTCCGACTATTACCAGGTGATTAGGTGCGAAGCTAAATGCAAACAATGGAAACAATGTGATCAGTAGTGTTATTAACTAACCGGCATAGCTGTTAGTGACCTACATTATCCTAATGACAATCAGCAGGCAACCACGTGACGCAGCATAACAACCCGACAGTCTGCTGGGCAGCGCTTTAATACATTATATGTTTCTCCATTCATTTCCCCATTCATTTCCCACTGGGATTCATATCTCCTCCTTTTCTAATATCTCTGCCTGTTTCTACCCGAGGTAAAGCGGTTGCTAAACTAATCGTCACGCAATCCCTTCTAAAAGTAATGATATATGAGTTGAGAAACCTGCCTATTTTCTTCGAAAGTACGTAATGTCACGATTTCAAAGCTATATGATGTCTCCTGAGTGGCGCAGTGGTCTAAGGCACTGCATCGCAGTGCTAGCTGTGCCACTAGAGATCCTGGTTAGAATCCAGGCTCTGTCGCAGCCGGCCGCGACCGGGAGACTCATGGGCGGCGCACAATTGGCCTAGCGTCGTCCAGGGTAGGGGAGGGAATGGCCGGCAGGGATGTAGCTCAGTTGATAGAGCATGGGCGTTTGCAACGCCAGGGTTGTGTGTTCGATTCCCACGGGGGACCAGTATGAAAAAAACAAAGAAAAAAACAAACATGTATTCACTAACTGTAAGTCGCTCTGGATAAGAGCGTCTGCTAAATGACTAAAATGTAATTACAGAGGACAAGTTAATTATCTCAAATCTTGGAAAAGATTTGTAACGTTGAGCTTTTTGTTCACGTAATTCGTGCTGATGTTGGGTTTTTGTGCTAACGCCCAATTTGACGCCTTGAAGGAGAGCGCTCCTTGTCAGTGTGTACCCAGAATGCACCGCGCAGTCCATTGACAATGTACGGCCAACATACAAAGTGGGCATTTCGATTCCCAATCTCCTGCTGCAACCTGGTCTCAACAGCATTTCGTATTATTCTGTACATAAATTCGAAACACTCTATTTCATATATGTTATGTTTCGTATGGTATATTTATTTGTGGGTATCGATCACCCATTTCGTATGATACACTACATGACCAAAAGTATGTGGACACCTGCTCGTCGAACATCTCATTCCAAAATCATGGGCGTTAATATGGAGTTGGTCCCCCCTTTGCTGCTATAACAGCCTCCACTCTTCTGGGAGGGCTTGCTGCGGGGACTTGCTTCCATTCAGCCACAAGAGTATTAGTGAGGTCAGGCACTGATGTTGGGCGATTAGGCCTGGCTCGAAGTCGGCGTTCTAATTCATCCCAAAGGTGTTCGATGGGGTTGAGGTCAGGGTTCTGTGCAGGCCATTCAAATTTTTCCACACCGATCACGACAAACCATTTCTGTATGGGTCTCGCTTTGTGCACGGGGGCATTGTCATGCTGAAACAGGAAAAGGCCTTCCCAAAACTGTTGCCACAAAGTTGGAAGCACAGAATCGTCTAGAATGTCATTGTATGCTGTAGCCTTAAGATTTCCCTTCACTGGACCTAAGGGGCCTAGCCCAAACCATGAAAAACAGCCCCAGACCATTATTCCTCCTCCACCAAACTTTACAGTTGGCACTATGTATTCAGGCAGGTAGCGTTCTCCTGGCATCTGCCAAACCCAGATTCGTCCGTCAGACGGCCATCACTCCAGAGAACACGTTTCCACCGCTCCAGAGTCCAATGGCAGTGAGCTTTACATCACTCCAGCCGACGCTTGGCATTGTGCATGGTCATCTTAGACTTGTGTGCGGCTGCTTGGCCATGGAAACCCATTTCATGAAGCTCACGACGAACAGTTATTGTTCTGACGTTGCTTCCAGAGGCAGTTTGGAACTCGGTAGTGAGTGTTGCAATCGAGGACAGGCGATTTTCACACACTACGTGCTTCAGCACTCAGCGGTCCCATTCTGTGAGCTTGTGTGGCCTACCACTTCACGCTGTTGTTGCTCCTAGACGTTTCCACTTCACGATAACAGCACTTACAGTTGACCGGGGAGCTCTAGCAGGGCAGAATATATATATTTTAGTTTTTTTATTATAATTGTGGTTATTTTTGGAACTTTTTAACCCTTTTTCTCCCCAATTGGTAGTTACAGTCTTGTCCCATCGATGCAACTCCCATACGGACTTGGAAGAGGCGAAGGTCAAGGGCCATGCATCCTCCGAAACACGACCCCGCCAAGCTGCACAAGCCGGTCTCGGGAGAAGCGAAGATCGAGAGCCATGCGTTCTCCGAAACACGACCCCGCCAAGCCGCACTGCTCGCTTAACCCGGAAGCCAGCCGCACCAATGTGTTGGAGGAAACACTGTACAGCTGGCGACCGAAGTCAGCGTGCATGCGCCCGGCCGCCACAAGGAGTCGCTATAGCGCAATGGGACAAGGACATCCCAGCCGGCCAAACCCTCCCCTAACCCGGACGACGCTGGGCCAATTGTGCGCCGCCTCATGGGTCTCCCGGTCACGGCCAGCTGCGACACAGCCCGGGATCGAACCCGGATCTGTAGTGATGCCTTTAGCACTGCGATGCAGTGCCTTAGATCGCTGCGCAACTCGGGATGCCCAGCAGGGCAGAAATTTGATGAACTGACTTGTTGGAAAGGTGGCATCATATGACGGTGCCACGTTGAAAGTCACTGAGCTCTTCAGTAAGGTCCTTCTACTGCCAATGTTTGTCTATGGAGATTGCATGGCTGTGTGCTCGATTTTATACACCTGTCAGCAATGGGTGTGGCTGAAATAGCAAAGTCTACTAATTTGAAGGGGTGTCCACATACTTTTGTATATATACTACGTTACGAATTACAATTTGTATTATATTTTACGAATTTGCAAAATGTATAATATGTTACGAATTTGCTAACTGTATGATATGTTACGAATTCTAGCTTGGTGGTTAACATTAAGTAGCTTGCTAACGTTAGCTAGGCTAGGGGTTCAGGTTAAGTTAAGGTTATGGTTAGCTAACATGCTAAATAGTTGCAAAGTAGCTAAAAAGTAGTAAGTTGAAAAGTTTCTAATTAACTAAAATGCTAAAGTTGTCCATGATGAGATTCAAACTTGCAACCCTACTTTCGTTTTTGCCTTAAGTAACCATACTGACCATAACATACTGTATCATACTAATTTGTAACCATACCAAACATAACATACTGTACCATACTAAATTGAATCTCCCGGATTTACTTTAGTATGTTACGTCTAGTCTATGAGACCAGGCTGCCTGAAAAGTATATCTGAAAGGAGCGGAGGAGGTCCTATTTACAAAGAAGTTAACAGGAAAAAAATTGTCCCACTCAAAAAACACAGTTTTATGAAGCGAACTACCGAGCACTTCTATCTGCTGTTTTGCCACCGCTTTACGCGCGAAATGAAGCCTTAAACTTGTTGCAATTTACTCCGAATGTTATCAGAGACAGACGATTGAGCAGTATGCTGTTTTATCAACTGGATTAAACTTTAAAAAATCCGAACCAAAAAAATGGAGAGAACAGCTGAGTCCTGTTGTGGAGTCCTGCTGTCGTATGTAGCTAGCTAGCTAATTTGGAAATAGCTAAGGTGAGATTTTATGTTGTTTTGATACTTCAGAGTTCAGAATAATATGAAATGTACTAATACAAGGGTATTGTTAACCAACAGTTTATGCTAAAGGATAAATGTCAATTTTTTTTAAACATTCGATCAAGATAAAATGGCATGGCCGTCAACTTTATCTCACAAATTGTTTAGATCCCCACCACAAACAAATGTACTAAAACAAAACTTTTAGGCCTATACTTTTCGGTTATGCTACAGAGGAATAGGCAACTATCGTCGGCATTTAGGTTCTCTACAATCATCATGGCCGACAAAGTAACCTTGTTGGCTACACCCCCCCAAATTATACAATGCTGCCATAACCTGCAACAATGTAAAATTCTCAAATTTGGATAGATTGTAGATTTGATACATGGCAGCTGTTGCCAATGGCACTATTTTCCTCGTTTGCAAGGCCAGTGTATGATGTAGCCAGGCCATAGAGAGAAATAGAGGACTCTAGTGCCCAAAAGCCCGTTTCAGCATGGGGACTTAAACCATGTTGAAGTAGTCAACTGGGTGAGACACTGGGGCCTTTTTTTAAAGTCCGCCCTCCTCCCTCTCTCCTCCACGACCCCAGAAACCTATGTGGTCGATTGGTGAAGGAGATGTCAATTCATTAGTAGGCGAACGGAAGAGTGTCCTCCCCTCATCAACAGCCACCTTTTATCAAGGATAGTCATGTGTATCCTACCAGAGTCCTTTGCGGAAGAGTTTGGAAATATGCCACACCCCCATTGAATCAGCTTTTATGTTGTCAGAGTAGAAAAGCATGCACACGTTTAAAAACAATATGCTACTTATCGTTTTATCTATAAAATGTATTGCACAACTAACTTAATTTGTTTTGGGATCCACCCATGTAAAGAGACTGAACAATTTTCAATGCAATGCATCTCAATTGGAAATAGTGCTTTTACATAATGTAGAAACCTAATATGCCACAAATGACTTTTTAATTTAAATGACAGGTATATCTTTCAATAGCTTTTTATATTAAACAAATGTATTTACAGGGTTACATTAGTTTCTAGGGCACAACATGTGCTTCAGAAGTAGCTAGAATTCATATAGGCTATATCTCAATAATTTTATAAAATCTTATTTTCTGGTACTCCTACATTTTATGTTGCGCTTCTAGCTTTTTAAAGTTGGGAGCACCAGTGCTACCAATAAAACATGTAAATTTAGAGCCCTGCTCATGAGCAAACATTCCATAACTGCAGGTGGCAGTATATCGCCGACCTTGGCTTTATACCTGTTCAAACAACACACTCCAGGTGGCAGTATGCACCCTTTCAGTTTGTTTGCCGACTCATAGAAGTAGTAGAAGAAAATGTACTACTTCAAAATGGAGATGGCCTCAATGGCGCTGCCATGCTCTCACAGACGCTATAATGGGACAGATCCAATAATGCGATGTCTATCTAAGTCTGAGACGGGCCTAAAGCATAAATGTAAATGAACCTGGGGGGCCCAGTTGGTGGGATGCCTGAACCGTTACTTAGCCGTATGTCAACACATGTATGCAGACTTTCTTATAGGCAATCTTGGTAGGCCCGATTTATAGAATGTTTACCAGAGAAGTGTTGATTCTACTAACATAATTCTTGATTTAATTTTTCATGCCACACCGCTTCTCAGTTTAAGTAGGAAATGTGATGCATTTCCATAGCACAGAAAATAGGCTTATGTGCTACTAGGTTATGTTTGGTCAAATCAGTCATCATTCAGGGTGCACTTTTTCTGGTGTTGAACTTGGTATTGAACAATGATTTATTTAAAATGTGTCATAAAAAATATATATTTTACTTTGAATTCTTTCTTTCAGAATTGCCCAATTTTCATCAGTCCACTACTGTGTGGAGAAGCTATTTTCTGAGTGGCCTGCCACACTGATTGCCATTGATAAAGTAGGTTCAGTGGGCCACTGCAGCATTTTTCAAGAGCATTGGCTGCCTGCTGTGTCTTGATGCTCTTCAGTGCCTGGATGTTGCGTGGGCGATAAGGATGTCCTGCTGGTCAGGATTGTGATGTGATGGGGTGCAGGACAAGCAAGGTCCTCCCTGAGCCACCTGGAGATGTCCAGCTAGACTTGGTCAAAAAGGTGGAGCCCCCTAAGACCGACATCTACAAACATTTCATCCGAGGCGACGGCAGTGGGAGTAAAATGGGAGGGGAGAAAACAGGCTCTCTCTCCCCACAGGCCCAGGCAGCTTTCCCAGCTGCCCAAGCACCCCCAGATACAGGCCAACCAGAGGCCTCTGACCCACGCAGAAACAAAGTAGCCAAGTACAGAGCGAAGTTTGACCCACGGGTCACAGCCAAATATGACATTAAGGCCCTGATAGGCCGTGGTAGCTTCAGCCGGGTGGTGCGAGTGGAGCACAAGAGCACGCGTCAGCCCTACGCCATCAAGATGATAGAGACGCGCTACAGAGAGGGACGTGAGGTATGTGAGTCAGAGCTGTGTGTCCTGCGGCGTGTACGCCACACTAACATTATCCAGCTGATGGAGGTGTTTGAGACAGCTGAGAGAGTGTACATGGTGATGGAGCTGGCTACAGGAGGAGAGCTTTTTGACCGTATCATCGCCCGTGGGTCTTTCACAGAGCGTGATGCTACACGGGTCCTACAGATGGTACTGGACGGGGTCAAGTATCTACATACACTTGGCATCACCCACCGTGACCTCAAGCCTGAGAACCTGCTCTACTATCACCCTGGGGCGGACTCAAAAATTATGATCACTGACTTTGGGCTGGCCAGCACTCGTAAGAAGGGGGATGAGTGCTTGATGAAGACCACTTGTGGTACACCAGAGTACATTGCACCAGAGATCCTGGTGCGGAAGCCATACACTAATGCTGTAGACATGTGGGCTTTGGGGGTAATTTCCTACATTCTGCTGAGTGGAACCATGCCCTTTGAGGATGACAACCGCATGCGCCTCTACCGCCAGATCCTCAAAGGGAAGTACAGCTTCTCTGGGGAGGTAAGCATCTATGACCTCACACACTCTCTTCATCCATTTAGTTTCTGTATCTTACTAATTTGTTGTCCTCTCTGCTTCTCAATAATTCTACAACCCATATCGAGCACTCCTCCTTTGATGTGTTGAGTGCACACTAGCTCTCAAAAAACCCTCCTTTTCAGCGGTTACATTCGCTTACTGTTGGCTCCATGTGAACTACAATTCCGATGCTGTGTTTCAATGTTTAGAAACGTCAATAGTCATCCCTTTCAAACCGGTTTTCGAAACATATGTTGATATTAGGGCCGGGACGATACTCGTTAGTATTGTGGCAAGTAGTGCTCAGTGATTAACCAAACTGTCAGTTATTTGTCGGTTTTTTATTAATTGAATTCCATTTTGTACGTTTTCTTTTCTGTGAGATCAATGCGCAGTTCATCTAGAGATAAATCAGATCAAGACGGAACTGTGCGATGTGGCAGAACGAGGACACGGATAATATACAGTTGGCTGGGTTTTCTGTTCATCGGCAAGACAGAACAGCAACCTCCGGTAAGACGAGGGGTGGTGGTCTGTGGCAATTTGTCAACAACAGCTGTCTCGAGATTTTGCTCGCCTGAGGTAGAGTACCTCATGATAAGCTGTAGACCACACTATTTACCAAGAGAGTTTTCATCCATATTTTTTGTAGCTGTCTATTTACCACCACAAACCGATGCATGCACTAAGACCGCACTCAACAAGCTGTATAAGGCCATACGCAAACAAGAGAATGCTGACCCAGAAGCGGTGCTCCTAGTGGCCGGGGACTTTAATGCAGGGAAACTTAAATCCGTTTTACCTCATTTTTCCCAGCATGTCACATGTGCAACTAGAAGAAGAAAAAACTCTAGACCACCTTTACTCCACACATAGAGACGCATACAAAGCTCTCCCTCGCCCTCCATTTGGCAAATCTGTCCATAATTCTATCCTCCTGATTCCTGCTTACAAGCAAAAACTCAAGCAGGAAGTACCAGTGACTCCCTCCATACGGAAGTGGTCTGATGACGCGGATGCTAAGCTGCAAGACTGTTTTGCTAGCACAGACTGGAATATGTTCCGGGATTTATCCGATGGTATTGAGGAGTACAACACATCAGTCACCGGCAATAAGTGCATCAACGACGTCGTTCCCACAGTGACCGTACATGCATATCCCAACCAGAAGCCATGGATTACAGGCAACGTCCGCACTGAGTTTAAGGCTAGAGCCGCTGCTTTCAAGGAGCGGGACACTAAGACATCCCGCGATGCCCTCCGACGAATCATCAAACAGGCAAAGCGCCAGTACAGGACTAAGATTGAATCGGATGTGGCAGTGCTAGCAAACTATTACGGATTACAAAGGGTACAGCTCAGCATTCAACACCATAGTGCCCTCAAAGCTCATCACTAAGCTAAGGACCTTGGGACTAAACACTTCCCTCTGCAACTGGATCCTGGACTTCCTGACGGGCCGCCACCAGGTGGTTAGGGTAGGCAACAGCATCTGCCACGCTGATCCTCAACATAGGGGCCCCTCAGGGGTGCATGCTCAGTCACCTCCTGTACTCCCCCTTCACTCACAACTGCGTGGCCATGCGTGACTCCAACACCATCATTAAGTTTGCCGACATCACAACTGTGGTAGGCCTGATCACCGACAGTGATGAGACAGCCTAGAGGGAGGAGGTCAGAGGACAACAACCTCTCCCTCAACATGAGCAAGACAAAAGAGCTGATCGTTGACTACAGGAAAAGGGGGGCCGAGCACTTTATTTTATTTTATTTTTTATAAAACATTTAGCAAATATTTAAAAAAATAATCTGCGTTGTTGGTTAAGGGCTTTTAAGTAAGCATTTCTCAGTAAGGTTTACACCTGTTGTATTCGGCGCATGTGACAAATAAAATCAGATTTCATGTAGTAGGGAGTTGTAGTTTCCAACAGGCCAATATTCTACATAGTTTAGCGCAGAGAACGTGGTAATTAACTACAATGACCATAATCTATTGCGTGCCCGTCTACTTGTCCGGTCTGTGTGGAGCAGACATGAAGATGGAGAGAAGAGAGAACCTGCGATTGAGAGGGATAGAAAGCAGTTCATTATCACTACCTGAAAATACATGATTTAAGTGATTGATAGTTGGTATTCAGCAGTCATACTTAAGTCATAAGTATGCCATATTTACTTTGAAGAACTACAAAATAGTGATTTTGTCAGACAGCATAGGCAGCAGCTCTATAGAGATGAGATGATGACTTGGAATGAAATAAGTCATCAAATAAACCAAATGTAATATACACAACTGAAATATTTTATTAAAGTTGTGGATAAATGATGGTTAACCCCTCTCCTACAATTTCCGCGGCCCTGTGGAAATCTAATTAACATAATACAAAAATCCCCATCAAAATCCGTCTTTTTAAGCTAGAGAAATGTGTTTTTGCATGGGGTGCGTCTCAGTCCACCGCATCCGCCGATATCACCCTTCTGCATCTGCGGTGAAAGGTGGCAGAGCTAGAGCGGTGTTTGTCCGACCATAAGACATCCTGAAAATTGGTCTTCTCATGAAAATGTCTGTAGCGTCCACACGGTTTGTCATACAAACTATTATGACCCCTCTGTGGAAAGATGAGTCTCACGAACAGGATGGTGTTCTCCGCTTTGCTCTACGACCACAAGCCTCAAGGGACTCGTCTGAAGTCGGTACAGCCTCTTCTGACAACTTCTGTCTGTAGCGTCTGCACAGTTTGGGCTACACACTAATATGTGTAAAGGTGAGTCTCTCACGAACACGTACATGTTGTTTGTTTTGCTCTAGGACGCCCACAAGACTCGTCTGAAGGTCTGACTTTAATGGAAGTACACTACATGACCAAAACTATGTGGACACCTGCTCGTCGAACATCTCATTCCAAATTCATGGGCATTAATGTGGAGTTGGTCCCCCCTTTGCTGCTACAACAGCCTCCACTCTTTTGGGAAGGCTGCAGGGACTTGCTTCCATTCAGCCACAAGAGGATTAGTGAGGTCGGGCACTGATGTTGGGCGATTAGGCCTGGCTCACAGTCAGCTTTGCAATTCATCCCAAAGGTGTTCGATGGGGTTGAGGTCAGGGCTCTGTGCAGGCCAGTCAAGTTTTTCCACACTGATCTCTACAAACCATTTCTGTATGGACCTCGCTTTGTGCACGGGGATATTGTCATGCTGAAACAGGAAAGGGCCTTCCCCAAACTGTTGCCACAAAGTTGGAAGCAAAGAATTGTCTAGAATGTCATTGTATGCTGTAGCCTTAAGATTTCCCTTCACTGGAACTAAGGGGCCTAGCCCGAACCATGAAAAACATGCCTAAAATAAGGGGTTAAATTGTTTATTTTTATTATAATAATAATCCTGATCTTTCTTACGTCTCAGATATAGGACAGAAACTTCAGAACGAACTTACTTAGTAAAAAATTGTTTGACTATCTGTTGTTCCATGAAATGGATCTGTTATTCAATGCATTTCTATGTGTTAATAGCAGTAATGCCAAATTCAATGTTTCATCAAATAATTTTTTTATATGTATTTTTTTTGTACCTTAAGGGGTCTTAAAATTCCAAATCAAATAGCAAAATGATCCTTGGTATGACCATCATAAAACAATTTCATATGATAAATTATTTCTCGCTGAAATGAAAGATTCGTTCCTTATGTTTCCAAAACCGTATCGCAAGAGATGCGTTACAACGTTCAGAACGAGCGTCTGGGATCTTAACAAAACTCCCCCGACCACTGTTGTTCAATTCATACTGAATGCATTGCATACAGTTGCTAATGTGTTAGCCTAGGTTTCATTTGAATCAAAAACATGTCTGTGTTTCTGGACTGGGCACAATGCTCATGTCATGTTGTTTCTGAGCTTTCACCACGACCCCCCTACGTGACTTTGTGATGTTAGGCTGGAGTTCCTGGCAGCAACCGCAGTATGCTCAATGTGTGTGTGCGTCAGAGCCTTCTACTTTGAATCAGACGGGTTCAGCTTCTCTCAGTGGGGGTAACATACATGGGTGTAGCTATGCTTCCTTTTATAAAGGCCTAACTTTAATACACACATATGTTTTGGTCCCCTAAAATGGGGGGACTATGTACAAAAAGTGCTGCAATTTCTAAACGGTTCACCCGATATGGATGAAAATACCCTCAAATTAAAGCTGAGAGTCTGCACTTTAACCTCACTTTAACCTAATTCTATCATTTCAAATCCAAAGTGCTGGAGTACAGAGCCAAAACAACAAAAGATGTCACTGTCCCAATACTTTTGGAGCTCACTGTATAACTACGTTGTATGATTTATGAATGGCAAGGATATATGAGATCGACTTTTCAGTCAGTTCGACACGTTTTATAAACAAGTCAAGCTTGCTGTTCGTCAATCAAAGCACAGTAAATAGCTTATGCGCCACCACTCCGTGGCTGCATATGAAACACGCTAGGGTCCAATGGTAACTTTTTTTCTCACTGGCCCACCCGGGCCAGTTGGCTAAAAATCTACTGTCCCGAACAGAATTTCTACTGGCCCAGATGTGGTGTAGTTCTTAAATGCATTGGGATAATGCAGGGCCTATAGGTTGGCATGCTTTCTCTCTATATTCGGCTATATTTGGTCATTATGAAATGCATAAAAAATTAGGGATGGGCACGGTTATTCAAAAATCCGAACTGACATTCGTTTTCGATTACTTGGGAGAGTATTCATTTTTTTGAAGAAATACAAAATATAGGCCTATTTTAACAACGAAAAGGCTTTGTCTAAAATGTAGGACAGTTACAGTTGAAGTCGGAAGTTTACATACACCTTAGCCAAATACATTAAACTCAGTTTTTCACAATTCCTGACATTTAATCCTAGTAAAAATTCCCTATCTTAGGTCAGTTAGGATCACCACTTTATTTTAAGAATGTGAAATGTCAGAATAATATTAGAATGATTTATTTCAGCTTTTATTTCTTTCATCACATTCCCAGTGGGTCAGAAGTTTACATACACTCAATTAGTATTGGGTAGCATTGCCTTTAAATTGTTTAACTTGGGTCAAACGTTTCGGGTAGGCTTCCACAAGCTTCCCCCAATAAATTGGGTGAATTTTGTCCCATTCCTCCTGACAGAGCTGGTGTAATGAGTCAGGTTTGTAGGCCTCCTTGCTCGCACACGCTTTTTCAGTTCTGCCCACAAATGTTCTATAGGATTGAGGTCAGGGCTTTGTGATGGCCACTCCAATACCTTGACTTTGTTGTCCTTAAGCCATTTTGCCACAACTTTGGAAGTATGCTTGGGGGTCATTGTCCATTTGGAAGACCCATTTGCGACTAAGCTTTAACTTCCTGACTGATGTCTTGAGATGTTGCTTCAATATATCCACATAATTTTCCTTCCTCATGATGCCATCTATTTTGTGAAGTGCACCAGTCCCTCCTGCAGCAAAGCACCCCCACAGCATAATGCTGCCACCTCCGTGCTTCACGTTTGGGATGGTGTTCTTCGGCTTGCAAGCATCCCCCTTTTTCCTCCAAACATAACGATGGTCATTATGGCCAAACAGTTATATTTTTGTTTCATCAGACCAGAGGACATTTCTCCAAAAAGTACGATATTTGTCCCCATGTGCAGCTGCAAACCATAGTCTGGCATTTTTATGACGGTTTTGGAGCAGTGGCTTCTTCCTTGCTGAGCGACCTTTCAGGTTATGTTGATATAGGACTCGTTTTAGTGTGGATATAGATACCTTTGTACCCGTTTCCTCCAGCATCTTCACAAGGTCCTTTGCTGTTGTTCTGGGATTGATTTGCATTTTTCGCACCAAAGTACGCTCATCTCTAGGAGACAGAATGCGTCTCCTTCCTGAGCGGTATGACGGCTGTGTAGTCCCATGGTGTTTATACTTGCGTACTATTGTTTGTACAGATGAACGTGGTACCTTCAGGCATTTGAAATTGCTTCCAAGGATGAACCAGACTTGTGGATGTCTACCATTTTTTTCTGAGGTCTTGGCTGATTTGTTTTGATTTTCCCATGATGTCAAGCAAAGATGCACTGACTTTGAAGGTAGGCCTTGAAATACATCCACAGGTACACCTCCAATTGACAAATTATGTCAATTAGCCTATCAGAAGCTTCTAAAGCCATGACATCATTTTCTGGAATTTTCCAAGCTGTTTAAAGGCACAGTCAACTTAGTGTATGTAAACTTCTGACCCACTGGAATTGTGATACAGTGAATTATAAGTGAAATAATCTGTCTGTAAACAATTGTTGGAAAAATTACTTGTGTCATACACAAAGTAGATGTCCTAACCGACTTGCCAAAACTATAGTTTGTTAACAAGAAATTGTGGAGTGGTTGAAAAACGAGTTTTAATGACTCCAACCTAAGTGTATGTAAACTTCCGACTTCAACTGTGTATGTGACATTGCTACATAGCCTACAACGATAGACCATTACATTCCAAATTTTAATAAAACAACAGTTTTATTACAGTTTTTATGAGTAGCCTACACAGGTTTCGAAGTGTGTGGCTTGTTATTGTCAGTTAATCATTGCAGCGCTACAGTCAGAGTCTCCATGTGTAGCAAGTGAAGTGGGAGATTTCTAATCAATGCAAAATAGGATTAAAATTCCAGGATTAAATTGGCTAAATGAGAAGGAGTAGTCTACAATGATCAACCAACGGTTAGGCTGTTGTTCAATGTGAATGGATTTTGTGTCTTTTCGCATTGTTTGTAACTTATTTGGTACATATTGTTGCTGCTACCATCTCTTATGACCGAAAATAGCTTCTGGATATCAGAACAGCGATTACTCACCTCAAAATATCTTATGTTTCACTGAGTCGTGGCTGAACGATGACATGGATAATATACAGTTGGCTGGGTTTTCTGTGCATCGGCAGGACAGGCGATACAGAGGGTAGTGCATACGGCCAATACATCACTGGGGCCAAGCTTCCTGCCATCCAGGACCTATATACGAGGCGGTGTCAGAGGAAGGCCCCAAAAATGGTCAAAGACTCCAGTCACCCAAGTCATAGACTGTTCTCTCTGCTACCGCATGGCAAGCGGTACCGGAACGCCAAGTCTAGGTCCAAATGGCTCCTTAACAGCTTCTACCCCCAATCCATAAGACTGCTGAACAATTAATCAAATGGCCACCCAGACTATTTACATTGACCCCCCCCCACTTTTTGTTTTTACAGTGCTGTTTATTATCTATGCATAGTCACTTTACCCCAACCTACGTGTACAAATTACCTCGACTAACCTGTACCCCGACCGGTACCCCCTGCATATAGCCTCGTTATTGTTATTTTATTGTAACTTTTTATTTTATTTTTTACTTAAATTTATTTCCTAAATATTTTCTGAACTCTATTTCTTGAACTGCATTGATGGTTAAGGGCTTGTAAGTAAGCATTTCACGGTAAGGTCTACACCTGTTGTATTCGGCACATGTGAAAATTAAAATTTGATTTGTAGACAAGGATGGGAAGTGCAGCAAAATAGCCTCAATTAGCTAGCCTCAATCTAAGATTTAAAGATGCATCAACTGGCATGGGTTACTAATATGGCTAGGATTATACCTTTGGCTGCTGGACAATAAAATAAAGTTGATTTGAAAACCAATATAACATGAGAAAAATGCTGGTTTCAATGGCATATTATGTTAACATATTAACAAGCCTTTAGATGTTAATATTAATGATCTTTTGTTATATTTGTCAAACATGACTGGCGTTTAGCCTATATTTATGTAATTAAAAGTCTCATTAAAGTTTGGCTACATTTTCTGGCGCCTCCCTCATGTCAGCATCGGTTTGGACATAAGACTGTAGGCATTATGCACATAGGCTTTTTATTTATGTACATTAAAAATATATTAAAATGTTATTCCAATGTTGGCCTCTGATCAAATTCTGATCAGAGTAGTTGTTTGATATTGTGAACTTAAATCTATATTCTTCTTGTCCCACGACCAATTTTTTTTACTTGTCCGGACAAGCGTTAATGTCGAGCCCTGTTATGGGATGTGCAAATTCATGCTCTCTCCCTCCATGTAAAGAAATGCGACTGCACACACTCACATACAGAGGTACCAAGAGGCGGGACAGACAGCAGACTTCCCTGTCATTGTTCACTTTGACTGACAGGCGCCTGTCCTCCTATCAATAGATCGCTAGAAGATGCATATCGTTCATTCTAGCGCGGGAGGGCTCCGCATACTTTTTTCTGACTACAGAATTGAAAAGTAGCCTAGTTAATTTAAGTAGAAAAAGTAGCCGTCTGAAAATGAGTCTGTAATTGGCTGCATAGCCGACAGCCGGCGCTAGTGGAAAACACTGTGTACAGTATAGCAATGTTCAACTGCAGCTGCTTTACATTCTGCTGCCCTCTTGTGTGTATTGTTCGTTATAGCTATGTCCCAAAATTCAGCTGGTATCCACAAGTGTGCTAGAGAAATGGACTCTCTCTGCCGCTTGATTACTTTCACTGAAAATGGATTTGACCCCCCACTAGTGCATCATATAAAGACTTAATTTGTAATGGTTTGAATTTTGCAGTTGCTCAACATTTTAAAGCTCTTTCTCCGTCTCTTCCTCCCTGCTCAGCCATGGCCCAGTGTGTCCAACCTGGCGAAGGACTTCATAGACCGTGTGCTGACAGTGGACCCCAGCGCGAGGTTGAATGCAGGCCAGGCTCTGAAGCACCCCTGGGTCCTCAGCATGGCTGCCTCGTCCTCCATGAAGAACCTGCAGCGCTCTATCTCCCAGAACCTCCTGAAGAGGGCCTCGTCACGCTGCCACAGCACCAAGTCCGCCCAGTCCACACGCTCCAGCCGCTCCACCAAGTCCAACAAGGCTCGCCGTGCTCGGGAGAAAGAGCTGCGTGAGCTCAACCGCCGCTACCAACAACAATACAATGGCTGAGTAATAGTTACATGGGCTGTAATGTTGACAAACTCATAATATTGCGTGTCTCATTGAGACCACAAGCAGGGACTTACCAGCAGCGGTCTAGAACAGCACTTCAGCTCAGCAATAACTTCAACATCCATCCTAGGCCATGGTGCCACTGAGGCAGCAAACAAAACATCCTCAGATTTCACTCTTTTTCCTAGATTCCTATTTCCTCATGTTTCTTTCCTGTCCTTGTGTGTCTCCTCATATTTATTTATTGTTGTCGTGATTATATTGTTTCCGTAGAAATGGTCACTTGAAGCTGTCCATCTAAACGGATCTGTTGAACAGGATTCAAGATAATGAAGGTTTAGGAAGGGATGTTAAAATGCTGTTCCTACACGTTCCTGATTATTTGCTGTGAATTTATTATGTTACAAGAACAGTGAGTTACTTGCTTTGGTGGAGATCTATATCTGATTATATCTTGATGTGGACAAAAAAGACGATGATACTTTGTGCTAAAACACAAGTATGTCAGTAAAGGCCAAAATAAACATTTATTTATTTAATTTTGGTTTAGAAGTCAGGTATATCCAATCTTATTGTATCCTGACCAGTTGCTTTCATGGATTGCAAATTAAGTCTCTTTCTTGCCAGGATTCAGTTTTTATAACCTGTCCATTCATGATTTTTTTCCTATTTGTTCTGGGATTATTTTTTAACTGTGAGCTTAAAAGGCTGTGGGAGGTTGACTGGAAACTCTAAATAAGGACGGATGATCGAGCGCTTTTGCATCGATTTCATTGTGGGGACTGGGGACTGATTCGGATCAAACCTAGTCGTGTCTCTGCACTCCTGTTCCTGCTACACCGTCTGAGATGGACAGCCTTGTTGTAATCAAGTATGCACGTCAAGTGATGTGTAATTTAACAAACTGATGGAGAATCGGTCGGATACATTTCTAACTGATGGAGAATAGTCCAATGGTTGAAAGCTCAGTATTCATTTAATTTGTTGTATCAAATATTTCTTTCCAATTTGTTCTGAGTAATGCAGACGTCATGTTTTTACTGTATTTTTTTTCAATATTTTTATTGAACAAACCGTGTAGTTAGTAGATTGACAACAACAAAATGTGTGCTGTAGTGGATGCTTTGCCAGTCGTAGAGCCCACAGACGGCTGTTGGGAGGAGAGACCAATTCAAATCAGGCTTTTCTGCACTATTGTCAAGTCTTAATCATCAATAAATATTACCATCAAATTATAGGATTCAAAATAAATCTTAAGATGACAACTATTGCTTTAGTCTCTTAAATGGATGTCTTCAACGTTTCAGAGGTTTTATTATTTTGAGTATAGCCTGTGAATGCACTTATTTAAGTGATGGTTCAACAGCCTTATCTCATTTAGCCTACCATTTTGAGAGGTCATCCAATAATGTTTTGAAGGGCGTGAAAGCGATTGTGTAAAAAATACTTATACCTCTTTGGTATTTGTTGACAGGCTTAGTCGTAGGTTTTGTATATTAATTACAAATGCTCTTGTTAGTTAGCTCCTTTTGTATTTACCTTTTTGTACTCCCCAACCAGGGCACCCATAGTAAGCAATTGGTTTGATGTCGTATACAGTATGTACTTTTGAGCAATTTGCGGCGAGAAGCGCTGGTATTTTGAAGTGAATTTATCAAAGATACTGGAAATCCAACAGCGCCGTATCACCTGACCTCAATCTCTCGTTTGGTAATTCTATAATGTTACATTATTCTCCATCTAAACTCAGTCGGTCCTACTGCTGTTTATTATAGTTTATCACAATAAAGGGCAGTGGTGTCTTTCCCGCCCACATACTTGGCCAACTGTCAATGTAATGGTAACTGACTATTAAGACCATCTCTGTCTGTCACGTGGTGCCTATTAATGTTATTAATGACAGTTGTATTGGTGTGCATGTTTCTGTAAGTAGACACTTTTTGGGAATAACAAATCATTAAGAACACCTTCCTAATATAGAGTTGCACCCCCAGTTTTGCCCTCTGATCAGCCTCAATTTGTCGTGGCATGGACTCTAAAAGGTGTTGAAAGCATTCCACAGGGATGCTGGCCCATGTTGACTCCAATGCTTCCCACAGTTGTCAAGTTGGCTGGATGTCCTTTGGGTGGTGGTCCATTCTTGATACACACGGGAAACTGTTGAGCGTGAAACCCAGCACCGTTGCGGTTCTTCACACAAACCGGTGCGTCTGGCACTTACTACCATACCATGTTCAAAGGCACTTAAATCTTTTGTCATGCCCATTCACCCTCTGAATGGCACACATACACAATCCGTGTCTCAATTGTCTCAAGGTTTTAAAATCCTTCTTTAACCTGTCTCCTCCCCTTCATCTACACTGATTTGAAGTGGATTTAGCAAGTGACATCAATAAGGGATCATAGCATTCACCTGGTCAGTCTGTAATGGAAAGAGCAGGTGTTCATAATGTTTTGTACACCCTGTGTATGTGAAATGCAGCATACATTTGTAACATGCATTTTCAATTCCAAAGAACTAATAATGCCATAGTTTCAGTCACTTGTTGATTGATTGTTTTTGAAACATCAATGCCTTTTACATGTATTTTTAACAAAGGTTTGGTTTTAATGCAAATGCAAATGTGGAATTGAAAATCCCCTTTACATCCTGGAAAAACAATTTCTAGGCCTGAAGAGAATATATATATTTGTTTTAATGGAGCAAAGATTCAAAATAGGACACTTAATTGTAAAGTGTGCAATGTGTGCCAAGTCAATGATTAACCAAATAGTATTTGCAAGCGATTTTGCAGAATGTAAACACATTTTCCGAAAGTGTTTCCTTTCACTTGTTCTATCTGTACGACACATGCTGTTGTCTTTTTCTGAAGTAGCCAATTCAACACTGTTTCCTGAATACAATTGTTTTTTATGTATTTTTTATGTTCTTGTTCATTTGTGTGTTTAAATGAGTGATAACACATTGATTATTGTACATTAACTTTTTTTAAATGGTGAACTGGTTCAGTGAGTCATGTTTTATTTGAATGTGCCAAATAAACAAACTTTTTTAAAACTAATTTAAAATAAAGTTTCAGCTCATGATCAGTCTTAGTGATACTTCCTTTCAAAAATGAATGCAAGTACCAGCCATATGTTCATACCGAACTGAAAGGAAAGATCCCTTTTTTTCACTGTGTATCATATGCTTTGTCATGTTTCCCAGTGTTTTGATGGATTTGGCATCATTACGGTCTCTCCCCTATGTGAGACCTATGTATTTTTTGTTTGGAAGTCCTAGTAAAATACACCACATGACCAAAGGTATGAGGATACCTGCTCGTCGAACAACTCATTCCAAAATCATGGGCATTAATATGGAGTTGGTCCCCCCTCTTTTGCTGCTATAACAGCCTCCACTCTTCTGGGAAGGCTTTCCACTAGAAGTTGGAACATTGCTGCGGAGACTTGCTTCCATTCAGCCACAAGCATTAGTGAGGGCACTGATGTTGGGCGATTAGACCTGGTTCACAGTCAGCGTTCCAATTAATCCCAAAGGTATTCGATGGGGTTGAGGTCAGGGCTCTGTGCAGGCCAGTCAAGTTCTTCCACACAAACCATTTCTGTATGGACCTCGCTTTGTGCCCGGGGGTGTTATGTTGAAATAGGAAAGGGCCTTCCCCAAACTACTGTTGCCACAAAGTTGGATGCACAGAATCGTCTAGAATGTTATTGTATGCTGTAGCGTTAAGATTTCCCTTCACTGGAACTAAGGGGCCTAGCCCGAACCATGAAAAACAGCCCCAGACCATTATTCCTCCTCCACCAAACTTTACAGTTGGCACTATGCATTTGGGTAGGTAGCGTTCTCCTGGTATCCGCCAAATCCAGATTTGTCCGTCGGACTGCCAGATGGTGAAGCATGATTCATTACTCCAGAGAACGCATTTCCACTGCTCCAGAGTCCAATGGCGGTGAGCTTTACACCACTCCAGCCAATGCTTGGCATTGCGCATTGTGATCTTAGGCTTGTGTGCGGCTGCTCGGCCATGGAAACCCATTTCATGAAGCTCCCAACGAACAGTTATTGTGCTGATGTTGCTTCCAGAGGCAGTTTGGAACTCGGTAGTGAGTGTTGCAATCGAGGACAGACAATTTTTATGCGCTACGCACTTCAGCACTCAGCGGTCCCGTTCTGTGAGCTTGTGTGGTCTACCACTTCGCAGCTGAGCCGTTGTTGCTCCTAGACATTTCCACTTCACAATAACAGCACTTACAGTTGACCAGGGTTAGCTCTATCAGGGCAGAAATTTGATGAACTGACTTGTTGGAATGGCATCCTATGACCGTGCCACATTGAAAATCACTGAGCTCTTCAGTAAGGCCATTCTACTGCCAATATTTGTCTATGGAGAATGCATGGCTGTGTGCTCAATTCTATACACCTGTCAGCAACATTTGTGGCTGAAATCGCAGAATCCACTAATTTGAATGAAATCGCAGAATCCACTAATTTGAAGGGGTGCCCACATACTTTTGTATATACAGTATAGTGTATATGCCACCAATATGACAAAAGGGTTTTGCTGCAATGTAAGATTAATGGTGATCTATTATACATTCCTAGGATTTCAAACTTTTTCTTCACACAACACACATGTTCCCCCCCCCCCAGAGAGTTGGTTAGTGCTGAATGATCTCCACCAGGTTCTGTTTTCATTTCTCCAGTTGTGTTGATGGGTATCGGATTTGGTAAAGATATGAAAGAGGGCTCCACCATAGTCTATATGATCCTGCTGCTTACAGTGCAGGAAATTGAGCCACTGGTGTAATCAAAGAGGACAGATTACAAACTCTGGTAACTTGTAATTCACCAACCCTGTCCTTCGATAGCCCTCTAATCAGGTCAGATTCAACACCTACTTTCTCTTACTCAAATTCCAATCCATGCACTATTGAGAGCATTCTGTCTAGCTGCATTACCGCCTGGTACAACAACTACATGCCCTCGACCGTAAGGCTCTACAGATGGTAGTGTGGACGGCCCAGCACATCACTGCTGGGGGCAAGCTCCCAGCCATTGAGGACATCTACCCCAGGCAGTGTCTGAGGAAGGCCAGGTAAATCTTCAAAGACTTCAGCCACCCCAGCCATGGACTGTTCTGCCCGCTACTGTCTGGCATGTGGTACCGGAGCATCAGGTCTCGAACCAACAGGCTCTGAGACAGCTTCTACTTCCAAGCAATAGGACTATGAACAGCTCATATAGAGCTGACTACCTACACCCATCTGCACTGCTTATACCTGCACTGACAATACACACTACCCACACATCCACAAACACATCCACTGATACTCCCTCACCCCCCTACACACACTCACACACACTCACACACTAAAGCTCAAACACACACACACACACACACACTCTCTCCAAGACTACACACACAAGACTACATTACACAAATGCCACCAGTATCCCTTTCATTGATTGGTACTGATACTGACCTTGTATATAGTGTATATTCTCACGTGTATTTATTGTATTCTCATTGGTACTTTTTTATTCTTGTGTGTATTTCTTTTATATGACTTAGTATAACTGGATTGTTGAGGATCATTGTATCTAAAAATCCAGGATGCTGTGAAATTGTGAAACTGCTTTTATCTCATTTACCAGTTGATGTGTGCAATAGAGTATGTTAACTTGATAGACTAGTGTTGATGAGTAGTTTAAATGTAGCCAATAAATCATTTGGATACAGTGTAACTGTATGTGATGGTGGTGGACTCTGCAATCTGCCTCCCTGATCCCATCCAGTAGGCATAAATAGTATACAGCTGCAGCCCCGCACTGTCACTAAAACTAGCCTGTCACTAAAACTAGCCTGTCACGAATATCATGGAGATATTGGAACTAGTGGATATATGGAGGCGTAAATATCCTGACCTAGTGAGATATACATGGCGGAGGCTCAATCAAGCTAGTCGTCTTGACTATTTTCTTATGTCATTCTCACTGGTACCAAAAGTTTAAAAAGTGTTGATAGGGGACAGAATGCGGTTGGACCATCAAATAATTGGCATATACATTACCCTTACAGAATTTCCACATGGGAGAGGATATTGGAAATGTAATCAAAGCCTATTGGATGATAACTTGTTTTTAACCAGGACAGAATAATTTATAACTGACTTTTTCCGACATAACATAGGTACAGCAGATCCCCTTATTGTATGGGACACTTTTAAATGTGCCTTTAGAGGCCATGCAATTCAATACTCATCTTTAAAACAAAAGCAATTTAGGTCAAAATAGTTCATATAAACAAAAGAAATAGAAGGACTAACAGTACAGATAGATAACAATAAAAACGGTACCATAGAGGCACAGAATAAGTTAGTGTGGAGGAACGTATTCAATAAAGATCAAGTGTACTGTATTATAAAAATAATATGCCATTTAGCAGACGCTTTTATCCAAAGCGACTTACAGTCATGCGTGCATAAATTTTTACGTATGGGTGGTCCCGGGGATCGAACCCACTACCCTGGTGTTACAAGCGCCATGCTCTACCAATTGAGCTACAGACTGGATTGAAATTGAAAATGCAAAATAATTTTTCTTGTGAAACAAATAAAACAAGAAATAAGACAAAAAAAAGCCCCTTACACTTCAGTGTTGTGATGCAAAAATCTGGCAAAATGCATAGCGCATATAATTAAAAAGGTATTGTCGGATATTATTCATCCTAATCATACAGGTTTTTATTATTGGAATTTATTTATAAATGCCTGGAATATTTCAATTTTGGAGAATCTCTTATACAATGGGTTAAAGTTATGTATAGTAACCCTAGATGTAAAATATTAAATGATGGCTATTTCTCAGAAAGTATTCAACTGTCAAGAGGAGTAAAACAAGGTTGTCCACTATCGGCATATCTATTTATTATGGCCATCGATATGTTAACTATTAAAATCAGATCTAACAATAATATCAAGGGGCTAGAAATCCAGGGCTTAAAAACAAAGGTGTCATTTTACGCTGATGGTTCATGTTTCCTTTTAAATCCACAATTTGGATCCCTCC